AAAAAAAATACACCTCAGTTATTCTAAAAAGAGATTTAAAAATTTCAGAACTCAGAAAGCTCAAGGTAGGATGGACAACATCAGTTTAATTCTTTGATTTTGGGTGGTCTGTTGACCAAAGAATATGATTTTATGTTTTAAGCAGCAACGTCCAAGCAATTGTATTACTTGGATATGTTATTGAGAACCTTTCAACTGCTTTAAGCAATACTCATCTTCATTTTCAAGGACAATCTAAACTCACCGTAATCTCAAATGACCAAATCTATTCGTTTGCTAAGTTTTGAATATGTTTTTGAATGCTTGGAAAATGTAATCAGGGTCATTTAGGCTAATCTTGAGATTTGCTGCAAATTGGAAAGGGAAAGCTGGAAGAAAAGGATTAAATCTTCATGACTTTATTTCTCTTTGAGATGCATTTAAACAGCTCTTCCATCTTGAAAATGTTCTACCAGTTTAGAACAATATTTCTGACCAGCTTCTGTAAGTACACACTGGCAATTTAGTGTAGATGGATGGCTACTTTTAACTACCCTCACGCTCAGCTGTACTCCTAGAAGAGAACATAGTGTCTAAACATGAGAACTGTTGTGATTCCAACAGTGAAGTGCCTAAATTGTTTCTTCCACTGTTGCTGTTGTTGATAGAGCTCAGTTAGTGGAGAAAAACACTACTGAATGTGAAAATTGCAGGTTGATGTGGCCCAGATACCAGTGTAGCCAGTGTTCTGTTCCTCACAGCTTCCTTAGCATTGAGTGAAAAAAATGTATGAACTCCAAATGCTCCATGAAAGTCACACTTTGAGTTAAAACATATAAAACCAGCTTTCATACTAATGATTTGAGGCGACACACTTGTTAACACCTGCATTGACTATCTTTAAGCTTCTGTAGATATGCCTGCACAAGATGTGGTGAGACACTGAGACACGACTGTGGACTTATTCATGCAGGGTGGATCCTTCTATCAGTCTTTTATGATGCCAACAGTAGGAAGACAAGATAGAAGTGCAGGCCTGCACGAGATGTGGTGAGACATTGAGACACGACTGTGGACTTATTCATGGATCCTTCTATCAGTCTTTTATGATGCTAACAGTAGGAAGACAAGATAGAAGTGCAGGTGTGTTTACATCAGGCGAAGAAATAGGATGCTCTTTAGGCAACCCTCAGTCACACTATGAGTTTTTCTTTGGATACCCCCAAAAATTAAGTCCTCAACTTTCACGGACTTTTTAGGGGTGTTTGCCTTCTTATTGTGCGAGACATATCAGAAAATCTCACCTGCTGTGTGGCAATTCCTAACTTTGTATGTTTGCTGTCATTTCAGATAAATGAAAGTTGCTGATATTTGAATGTACACTGATTAGGAATGTCTTAATTCAGTTTCAAAGCAGTCCAGATAGTGTCTTTAATTTCATGGAGCACAGCTCAGCCATATTAGAAATCTGTATGCAACAGCACCACATTTCTGTAGAAAAACTAGAAAGTGGAACATGAAATGGCTCTTCATGTCCATAAAAATGTTATTCTCAGATTAAATGCATCATCAGCCATTCAACCATATGATTGCTTGTTAGACATGCCATTTTATGCAAGTCTTGATACTTAAGAGAAATGTCATCTTAGTCCATGGCCATCATTGTGCGTAATTGGTATCTTTTAAGAAACTAACTACCTGATTGGCAGTCTCATTTGAGTAGTTAGATGTCTAAATGCCATCATGGTTCCTACGGGAACTTTTTGGACCAAAACTGAATGCCAGTTTTCAAATTTCTTGGCCATGTGTTTCTACAGAGGACTTATAATTTAAGACTTCACACTAATAATTCTAATATGATTCTGCATGGCTTTTCGTTAAAATTCAAGTACACAGAAGTATACAAAGTATCTGTTTCTATAATATTTCTTTTGAAACTATTTTTTTTAAATAAAGTTAGCAACATGGTCATTTATGCTGACAGCACTAAAATCCAATTTAACATCTACATCTTCTGGTAACAGTCCCTTGCATTACAGATTCTAGTTCCCAGACAAAAGACCCCATCATATTCTATGGCACTCTAACTCATGAAATAGAATTACTTTAGTTACTCTGTTTTTCACTTGTTGCATCTTACAACAGCAGTAGCTATTGCCTAACTGAAGACTGCTATTAGAAGCTTTGTATGCAGTCTAATGCCAGGATATGAAGACATTACCAGTCCTGATCCAATTCAGATAAGCGTATCATACATGTCCAATTGCAGCATGTTCTAAGATGAATCTGTACTTTTTTAGTGTTGCTGATCAAACTTCCAGTCCCACAGACCTTAACTAACTTGAAAGATCTTGCTTAGATTTTGGTCTCATTGAAGATTACTTGTTAAGGTTCACAGTCTTGCCCTAGATTATTAAAATCAGGATTCAATACCAAGTTTTCACTTTCAGTATAAATTAGCCATCCTTTAGTCTCTGTTTTAGTAGCTTTTACACACGTGAGTAATGCTGTGTCATTCTATGTTTGTCATAGTATTTTCACAGCTATGCCACTTGTGGGAGCCTTAGCAGGAATTTGAAATTGTCTCTATCCCAAATGGCTCTAAAGGCAACTAAAGGTTTAAAGTGTTCGGCCTCAGGAGGAATGGCCAATTCAGTTCAGTGACAAAAATGGGAGCTGAGCTCTTCTGAAAAGCTGCTCCCCAGGGCTGTTGGACAGAGCCCTTTATGTCTTGGTTTACGCATTAATTCTGCTTTCAGCTGCAAGGTTTTACAATACAAATTAAGAGAAGTTTTATTTCAGAATTAAAATACGCTATGGAAATCTTTCATTTCAAAACCAAAGCTGTCTGGAGATCATGGGATTTTTGGACTATTTCAAAGGCATAATACTGTCAAATTTATAAAAGTCATATATTCCCAATGGATATGTTGTGACCATTTTTCCTTGATTCATTTTTTGTTGTATTTTTTATGACATGCGTGTTAACAAGCTTCAGTTTATGACCTTGACATTTGCTTATTTTTCTTTTGGAGGTCTTCATAAATCACCAAAAGATTTTCTTTAAATCATTGTAAATAAACCAACCAGAGAATAAGTCATTGAAAAGGACAGAAGCAATTTCCTTTCTCTCTATTTGTGCATAATAGTTGACTGGCCCAGAAGCCATACAAAGATAGTGAAACGTTTGCATGGCAGAGAAAATGCAGCCATATCTGCGTTTGACAAAATAACAGTACATTCATAATGCTGTTGGCTTCTTAATTTCAAAAGGCAGATTTTAATATTACCGACTTCAGAGAAAGATAAGAAGGGCAGTGCATAAGACATTATCGGTCCAGTGTGGAAATAATGCATTCAAAATTAAAGACAGCAGTTTAATTAAGTGCATGAAAGGCTGGCTTTTATGATCATATTTCAAATACTCGAATGTCTTTTCATCCATTCTGCCATATGACTTAATAATATATCAAGAACAAAAAATGTATTGGAGTCTTTCTGCAAATTCAATTAATCCAATAAAAAGTGAAAAATAATTTCTTTTTCATTAAAAAGAACTCAACCCTAACCCTTCTGATGACAAAGTGCAAGATGAGGAGGGGGGGGAAGCTAAAGAACTATGAAAATTCTGCCTTTGTTATGCATTTATGTGTGCATGAAACAGATGAAATGCCACTATTAGTAACATTTGTTATTGAAAGGACTAATTGCATTCTGCTACAGTTAGTAGTTTATCAGATCCAGACCGCAGGGTATTTACTTCTCCCTTAGGATGCACTCACAGTGCAGCAATAATTCCGTAGTTTATTGGGCTGCTATGGGCAGGGTAATTATGCTAAAGTGTACCTCTCTCAGTGCTAAACTTAAAACTACCATGACACATTGCACCAGTGCTTTACAGGTTAAGTGCAACCTCTTGAATCCTTTCTACCTGCTAAGGGTTTATAGCTAAGGGAAGTGCAGAGATCATAGAACTTGTGTGCTAAACCAGAAAAACGAGTCACACAAACCACCCAGAAGTGCAGCATTTCAAATGAGAAATTATTAAGTATGGTATACAATGAAGGAAGTAATGTGCATTTAGAAAACTTTGAGATCAGTTAAAATGGGTTGGCAAAGGGATCTGTAATAAGATATTGAGCTTTAGACTGAAAGCCGTAGGTTGCTGGCTCAACCATGGCACACATCTGTAGTGACTGAAAGTTATTACCACTTGTCAGCTCCTCTCTGACCTCTGTGAAATGAGGTGCTAGTCTCAGTCTGGCTCCCAGTGGGCTGACGTCTCCGTTACAAACACTTCCAGCGCCACGGCTGGTTTGTCAGTCACAGCCTTGGCGCAAAGGCTTGTAGCGGTACCATGGTGAATAAACACCATCCTCGCCTCTGAAGCTGGTTCGTTCAGGTCAGGGCTGAGGCAGGCTGGCAAATAATTTGAGAAGGCTTGAAACTCCACTGCTAACAGAGGGTGGCTCTGGGTAAATAAAAGATCTCATTTTCCAGAGTTGCATGTTGACAGCTTTCACTTCTGCTGACATAACTAAATGTGGCCCTAAGGGTGGTTGGGGAATGATCTGGTCCTGTTCTGTTTATGGGCACCCACCATACAAATTGATGCCTCTCTGCTGTCATTTTTCCTCTTACTTGTCTTGTTCTTGATTCTTTTAATACCATGCTGTCTATCTAGGGGATGTTTCCTACTATGTTTCTCTCAGTATGTGTTTATGAACAGATTCTTTTCCAGATATCTATTCATGTCCTAATCTCATTTTAACTTCAAAATATTCCTCTCCCAGAGGTTTCCTTAGAATATTTATCCATACTGCAGGGAATCAGACAGGCTTTATTCTGAAAATACAGCAACGAATTTACAATAGTGACTCATCATTTTTTAAAGCAATAATTTTCATATAACAGAGGTAACAACTATAAAAATTATTCCCTTTGCAAGCATGCGGGTACAAATAAGAGCAAGTGTCTATGGAAGTATGATTTAATAAACATACGTTTCTTATTTCATATAGGTAACCCTCCCGCTACAGGTACAGGAACTTTACACATCACCTTGGAGGATGTCAATGACAATGTCCCGTCCCTGTATCCAACGCTGGCAAAAGTTTGTGACGATGCAAAAGATCTCAGGGTAGTGGTACTAGGAGCATCAGACAAAGACCTTCATCCCAACACAGATCCATTCAAATTTGAACTGAGTAAGCAATCTGGCCCAGAAAAATTGTGGAGAATCACCAAGCTTAACGGTAAGTCTGTTACTTTTTTTCTTATGCATTGAGTCCTCCCACCTCTACATCCCAGTAAACTCACCCTGAGGCTGCCTGTTACGTGAATTCAGGAGCAGTCGTGCAGGAAAGTCTTGCAGGATGGACCCATTGCTGCTGCTTTACACTGTGCTGTTTTTGCTCGGACCAGCTGCCTGGCGGGACATACTGTCTGTCTGCATTTTCTCTGAGATCTGAACTTTTTTTCCTCTTATTATGTTGACCAAACTTTTCTCTTTTACCTTTGCATTAAAGAAAGGCTTCTAATGACTTATAGTTTTGTGAAGATTACCACATTTCATGGCATGGAATTTGTTTGCATGAGATGCACAAGTTTTTGCTATAGGACAGCATGAAACTTTTTCATGGGCTTTAGAAATGTACTTGAAAAACTTCCTGATTTTAAGTATTTGAACTCTTCACAAATAAAATACCCAAATGCACTGGGACCATACACTATTGGTAAGAGGATCAAAGCACATGCTGTGCAATTGCAGAAGGTTCTTATGGCAAATTGTGGGCACAAAGTACTATATTTCTTTTTAATGTAGATTATTTCTATTTGTTTTCCAGCATGTATTATTTATCTCTGTCACTATTAAATCTTTTAGCAGTTCATTTCATATTCTTCTTAGAAAAAACTAAGGATGGATGTGATGTCTGTACCAGCCTGCAGGACAAAGCGGAGGAGTCATTTTCTTTGCTGTTCTGCAAACATCAAACTACCACTCTGTTAAACCCCCTAAAAGAGTTAGCACGCTCACCTGGGTACCAATAGTTGTTATGACCCACTGTTGCTCAGGTGGAGCAGGTCTGTGGATTTGAAGGGGCATTACTTCCCTTTGCTGCCTTCTCAGTCAAACTGGGGAAGGAGTTAAGCAGCTTTGTCTGTACTTCCTTGCAAGAAGGGTTTTTTCCTTTGGAAAATAGATATATTCTTTCCTCTTGTGTTGCTTTGGGGATTACGTGCCTTAGCATTTCATTAGTATATTACTTTCCATAGACAAATTCTGCCAATAATTTCCAGACCAAATAATACATTTCAACAAAAGGGGCTCTTAAAAGTCTCTTTTGGTGGGGTTTGGAATAAGTTTGCTATTAGCTCTCAGCCCATGAAAGAATTTCTGTACTGCCACCTCTTACCTCCAATTCAATTCTTTAATCTTTTCCTTAGAGTGTTCTCATTTTCTTCGTAATTTCCATGGGTAACTGTGGCATGTCTGATATTGTTTGCAGATTCCTCTTCCCTTCCAGACAACCGCTATTTGGCTAATTCTCACCTTATCCTTTGCAGATACTCATGCCCAGGTCATCCTGCTTCAAAACCTGAAAAAGGCCAATTACAACATCCCAATCTCAGTGACAGATTCTGGAAAACCGCCTCTGACTAACAACACAGAACTGAAATTACAAGTGTGTTCCTGCAAGAAATCCAAAATGGACTGCAGTGCAACTGATGCCCTTCATATCAGCATGACCCTTACCCTTCTTTCACTCTTCAGTTTATTTTGTAAGTCTTTTCCTGAACTGTAAGTAACCAAGTATTTTTTAGCTGCTCATTTGTACGCTGCATAAGAAAACCTACCAAGGAGAAGTTAAATTCATACATTGATATCATAATGCAGTAAGTTTGGTCTTTTTTTCCTGAGGAGGTAGCTATAAGAAAGAGGGAGGGGAGGGGAGGGGAGGGTTTTTTTCGTAGTCAAAAAATAGCAACGAATGCGTAGTTGTCAAATTAAGAAATAGAAGCAATAATTTTAAGAAGAATCAAAGAGAAATAGAGCTAGCATACAATAAACTAAGAAGTACCAGCTGTAGTAGCAGATTTGTGAGACGCTTTCTTTCATCTCTCCCCACTTGAATTAAATTCAAAAACAGAAACAGGAGATTAAAGGTGTTCTTGTAACAATAGCTGTTCTGGGTCACCATGAAAATGAGTACTGTCTGCTTCAATCTATTCCTCTGTGTAAAGTGCGCAAGCAACTGGAACGTGAGGAACTTATCCAAGATTCTGGGCTCAGAGCCACCCAGAACTGATGATCAAACTGCAAGTCTGGGTTGGAGGGCAGAGAGAACTGATATGTAAAGGAAGCTTCTGCTGCTTCTGAGAAAGCTTTCTAAAAGAGACTTACAAAATTCCCAATTTGAATTGGAAGGAGTATAAAAAAATTTCAGAATGACTGAAGAGTAGGAACTCAAAGCCATGGAATCCCAACATCTAACCTAGATGTGTCCCTGGCTTGTCCTGTGACAGCTGCCAGCAAATTTTTTGATGCAGTATTATTTTGAGTTCCTTATCTGTTAAAAAGGAATAGCTGTACCCTACAACTATGATAGTAAATCTGTTATTCAAGGGTTATTAGCGTCATCTTATGTTAGTAAAATACATTGTATGGTGAATTAATACCTGAACCGTGGTGAAAGGCCTTGTATTCTTGATGAGATAAAATCTACCATGAGGCAGAGATAGAGTTCAAGGCAGACATAGTTTACACATCTGAGGCTTGGTGTATGCTTGATTACACATCTAGTCAGGTTTTTTTCTTATAGTATATTACTTTTATCCCAAAAGGTTAGCATGAAGGTCATTGTGAGAGAATTAGAACTAGCTGATGTTTGTGATGCTCTTTGAAGATGAAAAGGACTATATAAATGCTAAGTGCAAATTCCTGTTCTTTGTTCCAATCAGTGACATCTGAAGTATCTCCATTGGCTTTGGTTCAGTTATTCTGGGTTTAGTCTGCCGGAACCAAATGCAGACTTCAGCTGTTAGAAGTAATGTGTTAAAAATATTTGACAGCACGTTACGCTATCACATCAGTGATATAAATATGCAGCCCATTGATTCATATACATTCTTGTTACCACTTCATAAATGTTGCTGGTGCTATCCTAGGCATGACTTTCACCACTGGAATTACTTTCTTATCTGACATGATTTGCACTTGAACTTTATTTACATTAATGCATCTGCCCAGAAAACAATAAGGTAGAGAAAAGCTTTTTGCTTTTGAAAGTAATCACGTTGCTTTTTTCTAGCCCCCAAAGAAGTCTGATTATTTTCCTTACGTTGAATTATAAAAAGCAGTTCTAGGTGTTGGAAAGCTCTTCTTGAGTTGCTCTTCTTCTTGACTGCAGATCTTCTCCAGCTCAGCTGTGGGCAGAACATAAGCCCCTGGCATCTGAATGCTGTGTGGTGTTCTGAATGACGGAGGGATTCCCTCTCCTACTGTAAAAGAACAAGTAGCACTGAATAGTCTTTATGCTGTGAAACAATACAGACATGCCTAGAGCCATTCTGCAACCTTACATTCGCTCAGAGTACTGCAACAAGTATGGAGATAGTTGTAATCTTAAAGAGTGGAGAAAGATTATGCACATAATCTGCCAGCAGCGTGATGTTCCGGTCTGTTGTCTGAGCAATAAAACCAAAACAAAGGGAAATAGTGGGTGAGTTGAAGGGAAGGGGAAGGAAGGGTTTCCCTCTTGGGACAGAGGCTCTTTTATACGCAGTTGTGAGTGAGAGCATGAATCCCACAAATAGACTTCAGCATAGAGAGACCTAATCCTCCGCACAGGACCACATTTTTTTGCTAAAATTTGCTACTGTTCAGTTGCGTGGTTTGGGGTCACCTAGTCACACAGAGTGAGGGTGGTATTCCATGTCTGGTACAGCTACCTAATCCTGCTTGTGCAAAGCCAGCAAGCATAACAATGTTCATAACCATTTTCTTCAGGTGTAAATGACTACATGGAGACATAAAAGAATGAGGCCAGGAGCCAGTTAAAATAATGTGGTTCTGTATTTGAACTTCTCTAAAATGTGCTGGTATCATTGCATTCCCAATTCATTTTCACACATAGTTTTTTTATAACTGTGATTAGTTCCATTGCAATGTTTTGTATAGTCCAAATATTTATCAGAGTAATCAAAGATTATGATGCCATAAAAACAAAGAGAACTTTAGTGCTTATTGAACAGATGAAATATCCCATTTCTAGTGGAAAGTTATGGGTTTAATTTTTGCAAAAGCCCTTACGTGGCTCACTTTGCTCCCAGTGTTTATGTTTTATGAGGCTCTTGTTCCTAGGACGTAAATCCTTCAGTCAAATGAACTTTGTTATTCATGCCAAAGTATTTCTTTTTGTATTTGGCATCTGGTGTGAGGATAGATAGCCCTATGAAAGAGCTGTTCGTGGTAAAAATGCCCTGTGTGAATCTCCTCCCCATACAAAACATCTTGGCATTATCATTTAAATGGTGCAATTATTATCTATACTTAGAATATGTGCCTCCTTTGTAAATCATGGAAGAAGTCATATGTGGTAGATTTCTGAAGTATCTGAGCATAGAATTGGAGAGCCTGATTAAAACTGATTAAAGCAGCAGTTTCGCCTATTCTGTAGCTGTCCTACTGTGTTCCGTATATTGAGAGATAACGGGATACAGACTGCAGAGTTGCCCAGAAGCCCTTGGAAAGGTAGATATACTTGGAACAAGAAAAATTTAGGAGTTGTTCCCAGCCAGAAATAGAAGATGTAAAATGCCAGAGTAGAGGGGCAGATTGCTGGTTTTCCACAACGAAACAGTAAGGTGTTTGGTGGAATTAAAAGACGGTGAATACAGAGGTGATGGAAAAAGGGAGCATCTTTGCATATTTTATACTTAACCTAACTTATTACCACTGGGAATTGCTGAAGTCAAGCTGGAAATATGTATAGTGGACAGGTAGAGGAGTTTCCAAAGTTATAAAAGTTAATGCTAACAAGTATTGGAAAGAATATTAAATCTTCTCTGTCATTAATGCAGACACCATGTTTAAGATGAGACCTAGTACAGTGGCATCTTGTCCTCTGCCAGCTTTTCCTAGCCACTACTGGAGACAAGATAGGACCAAAATATTCAGATATAATTTAGAATTTAGTAATTCAGATTGAGGTAGAAGAACAGATCAAAAAATAGATCTGGGTTTCCAGTCAGGGAGGACTACTGTTGTGGTTTAACCTCAGTCGGCAACTCAGCACCACACAGCTGCTTGCTCACTCCCTGCCCCCCTCCCCCCCTTCCCCCCCCAGGTGGGATGGGGGAGAGAATTGGAAGAGTAGAAGTGAGAAAAACTCGTGGGTTGAGATAAAAACAGTTTAATAATTGAAATAAAATAATAACAACAATAATAATAATAATGATGTAATAATAATATACGAAGCAAGCGATGCACAATGCAATTGCTCACCACCCGTCGACTGATGCCCAGCCCGTCCCCGAGAAGCGCTGCCATGGAGTGTCCCTCTGGCCAGTTGGGGTCAGCTGTCCTGGCTGTGCCCCCTCCCGGCTTCTCACTGGCAGGGCATGAGAAGCTGAAAAGTCCTTGACTAGTGTAAGCACTGCTTAGCAACAGCTAAATCATCAGTGTGTTATCAACATTATTCTCATGCTAAATCCAAAACACAGCACTGTACCAGCTGCTAGGAAGGAAATTAACTCTACCCCTGCCAAAACCAGGACAGCTACTTGAGGAAGAGAAAAAGTGAGAGAAAGAGAAGGCGTGTTATGCAGCATATCAGGTGCTGGGTCTGAGATTGTCCATGTTGTCCCTTACTGCTGTAAGGGACATCTCATGTTTTCAACTGACACAGCTAAAATAGCTCTGTTCAGAATGAATGTAACCAACTTGATGTGCTCAACAACACTAGAATTATAAACAAGTTCCCTCTGGAAGGCTCCTGAACGTTTTTAGTAAGAGAGTATCTACAACATTCCATAAGGATGAGGGACGGAGAGAGGGAAAAAATGTGCCCCTTATTGCAACCTACAGATTGGTAGCTGATATTTCATTTAGATATTGGTTGAACAATACCTAAAAGGGAGAAGAGCTGTCCTTGAAAATTTTGCTTAAGTATCATCAATTTCACAACAAATGATTGTAAACATGTGTTTAACAGACATTTAACAGCAATCTCTTCTCAAGATATATTGAGGTTGGTAAAGCTGGTTTTTGTCCACTGGCAACGTCCTCTGGCAGAGTAAGTTTTCATAAGGAGCTTGGTCAGAACAAGCCAAATCAAAGGCATACATCAAAGAACTTTTGGGACGTAAGTTACATACAGGTGACTGAGAAAACAAAACAAGCTAAAAAAGTAAAAGATGAAGGTAAAAACAAATTTGTGTATACTGTCATAATGAACTCAGCAACAAAAACTGCCCCAGGCCCTATGGGAGACTGAGAAAGAACTACTCTAGCTGGCAGAACTAGGTTTTATATCAATTACTGTTTTTTTTTATTATTATTTAGAGGAGTATTTTAATTCTGGACTTTTGATTTGACAATAATTATTTCACTTAATTGCATAATCATAGAATGATAATTGCATTTCATATTTCCTTTTATATTCTACCAACATAAAAGACCAAGTTAGATTCAATTGTGTTGAATTAAGGGACGAAAATAAGAACCAAAGGCACAATAGTCATGAACAAGCAGAATTCAAAGCAATTCCATTAGTAGGTCA